TTGATTGAGAAACCAAGACAGGTGGATGGATGCTCTTAGTCTCAAAGGTGAGTGTCAGGGAAGGTCCATGATGAAGGAGATCACCCAGAGGACGTGAAGGCTAGGTGACCCAAGGGCAGGACACCAGCCATCTGGTCAGTATGTGTGACTGAGCCCAGCTAAGTCCTCTATACAAACTCTGAAGATTCGGGTGACAGGGGCAGAGATCTACTCATCTTGTGGCCACCCAAGACAAACCTCGTAAGTTCCCTTTCTTATTAAAGCTGCCACCCACCAGACTGGAATGGTCTGCCTCTTTCTGTCTCTCCATGATCTCTGTGTACAGTGCTCATTTTGAATTCCACCGAGGGAACTCTTGAAGGTGCAAAGCAAAAGTCTGCTAAGGAAATAAGATCTCAGTTGAGTCCTGAAGAAATTGGAAGGGCTTGCCAAAGAAGAGATGAACCAAGGGCACACAAAGCCACAGGAACTGTGTTGGCTACCAAATCGGTTACTTATTTAGGTGTTTTTCTTAATACCTAGAGGCATTTTGTGAGCCAAAGATTTCCTGGAGAATATCCTTCAACCTTACTTGTATTTGTTTTATCAGCTTATTTCCCTCTTTATTACTTTTTCTCCCCCACCTCCCACGACAGCAAGTACTTAACACAAAAGCCCCTTAAAATGTTTTTCCCCTGTGCATTTCATTTTTTGTGGTGTGATCTCTGCAGGTAAAATGGCTCCTGATGTCTTCTGCATATTAGAAAGGGGGAAAGGATAGCAGGACTTGACTTCAGCAACCTCCAGGACTGGTACCATCCTCACCCTCATTGCCCCGCTCTGCCCCACCCTGCCATCATTGCAGTCTCTTAAAGTACTCTGATTCTCTTCTTCTGGTTGTTTGACCATCCCCAGTGCCTGCTCCTTTGAGTATGTTGCCTGTGATTCCCGTGTCTCCTGAATCTGTTAGCATTGACCAAAGTCATGCATTGAGTTTTGAGGATTTAAAAAATGGGTTTGCTCTCTTCCTATGTCATTCCTCTTTTGGGAATTCTTTTCCCTTCCCATTTGGTGGAGTTGCGCTCATCCAATCAATATGCAAATTAATTCTGTTTGTTCTTCTGGGTCCCTAGCAATGCAAGCAAGTCTTGCTTTGTTAATTAGAGGTTAGATTGCATCTGTCCCTCAAAGCCACACAATTCTCTGTTTTAAAGAAATATGACTCTATGCTCACTGCAGTTACAGCCAAGAATTCTGAGCCACCTCAGCCAGTTGTAGAGTACCAGGGACGGGGACTGCTGATGTCTTTCAGAGACCAAAAGAAGATTAGTGGAATGTGCTTTCCAAGTTGTGCTCTTCCCTCCCGTAGTGTCTGAATCTTCTGCACTGACTTGAATGGCAGGGAGAGGGCTGTTGACTTCTGTGAAGACTTTCTTAGTCCTTTATTTGGTTGGGACTCCATCACATTTCTTATACACAATGCAAGTAACTCCATCTAAATAGTCTCGTTCTCATCGGTCATGTTCTCCACTTCATCTCATTTCCACTCTGTTTCTCCGTGTTCCAGCTGGACATCATACTCATACCCTTCTCCCTTCCTCTTTCCTGAACACATTCTACTACTGCCCTGACTTTTGCTCATGTCCTTTTCATTGCTTGGAATACTTTTTACCCCAAATCCACACGTTAAATACTACAAACTTTTCAAGGCTCAGCCCAAATAGCACTTCTATGTTCCATTGCTGTTTTTTACTTCTTCTGGCCTTTTCACCTTATAGCACACCTGCTCACATACATACAACTCTCTTCCCTAGGCTGCAAACCCCATACCTTGTGTATCTCTGCTTCCAACTGACTGGCTCAGAAATGAAGACACTGGAGTTGCTCAGATCATTGTTGTGGAGTGGAATATCTCTCATCAATCTATCCAAAAAATCTCTCCATTAAGTTCAAATCTTACAGGGGCGTTTGGAGACAGTGGCTTTAATTAGAATATGGCACCATGTTGTTTTAGATTCCCTGGGAAGTGTATCATATGAATTCATTTATATATCACTTGGGATTAGTCAGTCTGATTGGGCAATTCAACATTCAGAAACACTCATGTAGAAACCAGACCTTCCTGGGATCATATACAGTAGGGATTCCCCATACTAGGTAATTAACAAAATCAACACTTGGGATATGTTAAAAATCTAACTTCCTGTAGGTTCTGATTTGGTAGCTCTACAAACAGGACCAGGAAACGATGTTTGTAAAGTGATCCCTAGTGATGTTTGTGCCAACCTGGTTTGGGAATGAAAACAAAACCAGAATTGATGAAAGAACATTTCTCAGAAGAGTTTGGGTAGGAGCAACATAAGAGAACTGAGTACGTGAATTTGAGGGATGGAAAGGAGGCGGGAGAAAAATCAAAGAAAAGGTGAAGGGAAATTCACTTACTCATTGGATAAATCCTCTGAATTGCCCAACCCAGTGGGAAATGCTGGGGATATCATGGTGAGCAAGGACTCCGCTCTTGCTGATGTTGCCACGTGAGGAAGATAAATGATCCAAGCACTACAAAAAGAGCAGTAGTATGTGGTGCTTTTGTAGCAAGTGGAGTGACCATCTCACTCAATGTGTGTGGGGTGTGGGAGGACATCTAGAAGACATGGGACCTAGAGGACATTGGAAGTAAGAGTCAGCATGAGACAGGGGCTGAGGAGGGAGAAGAGTGTCAGGCTAGTCAAGGAGGCCATAACAAGCCTGATAGACTTGTTATATCCTAAATGCTGGAAGTTGGTGGAAAGCAGGGAGGGGCAAGGGAGAAAGAGAGTGTAAGAATTGCTCAGGGTAACGTTATAAAACGAACATTCTGGCCTCGAAGTGGATGGGCAGAAGGTGAAAGAACAACCTGAGAAGCAGGTGGTGCCGTGAAATACAAAAGCAGAGCGTTTCGTTGAGGAAGGAGTGAACGGTGGGATACCCAGTGCCGCCAAGAGGTCAAGTAGGAGACAGATTGGAAGGTGGACTGAATGAAGTGATGAGGATGTTATTTGTGAGCACGCTCAGAGGGCTTTAGTTAACCATGGGAGTAAATGCCAGAGTTAATGGTCTGAGGTCCGAGTGGAGGCAAGGAGGAGGAGACAGGAAACTAGTTTTTCAAAAAGTTGCCTGTGAAGGGGAGAACAGAGGTAGCATGAAAGTGGGTGAGGGTGTAGGGTAAAGGAGGTATTTTTTCTTAAAATTTTTTTTAACTAGAGTAGAGCAGGCTGATAGAATCACATTTTATTAGGGTTAAATTGGCGGTAAAGGAGAGTTTGAAAATAGAGTAGCAAGGGGGCCTACAAGGCAGAAGGATCCTGGAGAAGAGAGAAAGAACGGAATCCATAATAGAGGTAGAAGGGTTTACTATGTGTAGGATGAGGAGCAACTTTTTTTCCATCATCACAGAAAGGAATAAGAAACAGCTTGGGGCAGATGTTTGTAGAGTTGATTTAGAAAATTCACAGAGCTCTTGTCTGATTATCATCAATTTTCCCTGTAATTTTCAGGGAGTGAGGAGAGATGTGTCCGGGAATGGAGCAATGTAGAAGTTTAAAATAGTCCTTCCCCTGTGGGAAGATATGACTAGATGAACTGTCAGGAGGTATTAGCACCCTAATTGTCAAATTGTCATTAGTGAGCATCCCTTAGAAGCGCCAGCAGAGCCTAGCAGTCAGGCTGAAGGAAAGGTGGATGGTAGGGTTGTGCTAAAAGTTCAACATGATTGATTGCCTACATCAGATTCACCACCCTTTCCCCTTCTTCCTTCCTGACAGAACCCTGTTTTTGTTTCGGTTCACCACTCTCCTCAGATTAGACATGTTGCTCAAGGGTTGCAGGCCCACCCACTATTTAGGGAGGCTGGCCCTGATTCATCTAAGCCAACCATAACGGTTCCCTTACCAATGACTGCTTTGCACAAGGGTGTGAGTGTGTGATAGAATTCCGGGCAATGAGGGGGAATCCACAGACAGGGAAATGTTTTCTTGCTTCTAAGAAGAGACAGAAGGAAGGGATGGTCTATTTTCCACCTTGGGATGCTGTCCTGCCGGCAGGTGATGGTTGGTGAACTAGTCCAAAGACAAGGTGAGATAGAAGGATGCAGGGTTGAACTTGGCCCTTGACAACATAATTGAACTAGTGGTCTTCTTGTTAGGTGGCAGAATTACCTTATTGCTTATGTCATTTCAAGTAGGTGTTTTGCTATTTGAATCTGAAAGCACTCTACCTGATACATTAAATGAGCACAATGGAAAGATAGTGGCAAAAAAAAAAAAAAAAAGGCACGGGGGATATTGATTAAATCCTGCTTCAGGTGATTGACCCTCCAGTTTAAGATGGAGAGGGAAGGAAGTGATGACAGGAGGGAGTGACTCAGAGAGAAACTGGAGGGCCCTTGACCTGGAAATCACAAAGAAGTCAAAGAAATAATGTTTGGGGAGCAGCTGAGTAAGAAAAAGGGAGAAACTGGAGGGAGGAGAACTGAACTTATTCAGTCTTTAGGATTTTCCTAACATTGTCATTTTTAAGATTTGTTTGGCTCTCTAATTCAGCAACTGTGAGTATCTCTCCAAAGGAATTAATATAGACTCTTGTCAGCAGAAGGGGGAGAGGCAAGAGTATCTTGGCATTTTCTTATATGTTTTAGAAATAAAGAAGAAAATGGTATATTTCAGAGAACATTTGTGGGAGATGTGCTTTTAATAGGGAGCTGCATATTGTACTTTTTCCCAGCCAGGCTCCATGCCAAGTGGCGGAGATGGTAATTAGCAAGACACGCTGTTGTCTATTCTTATGCATTTAATAACCCCAGCTTGATTCACAGAAGCTGCAATGCAGAGTAGTTACTGGGAAGCAGAACATTTCTATGTGGGGCATTTACTTTGAATGGAAAAGTTTGTGCTACGGCATTCACAGTAGAGCTGCCTGACGGTCCCTGCCTCCCCCATTTCTTTCCACTGATGCCATTGTTATAACAGTTATTCTTCTGCAAATAGTTCCCAATGTTTTATTCATACTTTAGGTGAGACAGGGAATGCTGAGTTCAGAGGGAAGTTTTGTTGTGTTTCTGACGTGGGTCCTGCAACTGTACCTTGTGACACAGAGCAGCCTTTTCTGTCTTCCCACTGCTCTTTGGCTGCTTCCTTCTAATTGGCACATCTCACGCCCTGTTTCTTCCTCTGGACTTTTCTGATTTGCAAGATGGATAAATAGGACGAGTAATTTTCCATAGACAAAAAAAAAAAAAAAAGCATTCGGTGTACTCTTTTGGACAGATTTTGGAATCTTTCTTAACATTGTGAAGGCATTTTGGCTTTCTTCTTTTTAAATCACTTTTCGCTCATGTTAAGCTACTCCTGATGAAAAAGCTTATAAAGAGTTATTCTTCTTAGGAGTATGGCCATTTAGCAAGAGAATAAATGGAGCTAGAAGTACCTGTGATCAAAGAAAAAATTAGCAATAATCGAAGAGTAGAATAATGAGTGTTTGGGGTGGGGAGATATTCTGGTGCTCATTGATCCCCTAAGGTAGATGATAAATGACATGACTTAATTTGTTCAAAGTACAGTCTAAGTTTATTCAAAAGAAGATGTTGCTTAAATTTAAAAGGTATATATATATAATATATATTTTTTATACATATAGATATTTCTGATTTAGAAGCTATACAAAGTAGGACAGTCTAGGCTATGCTGCAATAACAAATAACCCCCTCCAGTAATAGATCTATTTCTCTATCAATGGCTACTGAGTAGAAAGTCTCTACTGATCATAGTCACTCAATGACCCTAGATGATGGAAATTGTGTCAACAACATGTGCTTTCATGATCACCCCATTTGGGGAAGAGAATGAGGTATATCATGGCTGGGCTCTTTTCAGTGGTCACATATGGTCTCATAACTTCAAGGGAGATAAAATCATGCAATTCTATATGTGCTCAGAAGACAGAGAACCAGAAAATATTTAATGAACAGAATTAAGAACCTGTATAGAAGAGGGTAAAGAAAACTCAGGAAGAAGGAAAATAGGGGTGCCTGGGTAGCTCAGTCTGTTAAGCATCTATCTTCAGTTCAGATCACGATCCTGGTTGGGGTCCTGGGATGGAGCCCTGTGTCAGGCTCCCTGCTCAGTGGGGGAGTCGGCTTCTCCCTCTCCCTCTCCCTCTGGCCCCCACCCACCACGCTCCTGCTTTCTCTCGCTCTCTCTCTCTCAAATAAATAGACAAAATCTTAATAAAAAAAAGAAAGAAAAGAAAGAAAGAAAACTTAGGGAGAAAAAAACGTAGGTAAAAATAAATTGTCTTTGTCTGCTTGGGCTGCCAAAACCACGTATCATAGACTGGGTGACTTAAACAACAGACATTTATTTTCTCACAATTCTGAAGTCTGGGAAGTCTAAGTTCAAGGTGTGGGTCAATTTGGTTCCAGATGAGAGCTGTCTTTCTGGCTTGCAGATGGCCACCTCTTGCTATGTCCTTATGTGGTCTTTCCTCACGGCACGTATGAGGGGGGAGAGAGCTGTCTGGAATCTCTTCTTATATGGACTCTAATCCTATCAGATTAGAGCTCCTACCCTACGACCTCATTTAACCTGATGCCGTACGTAAAAATCAACTCAAAATTGATTATAAAGACTTGAACTTAAGACCTGAAACCTTAAAACTTTTAGAAAAATACATAGAGGATAATCTTGATATTGGTCTTAGTAATGATTTTTTTGACTTGACATCAAAGGAAAAGGCAGAGATCAAAAAATAGCAAAAATGAACAAGTGGGACTACATCAAACTGCCAAGCTTCTGCACAGCAAAGGAAGCCATCAGCAAAATGAAGTGGCAAACTAAGGACTGAGAAAATATTTGCAAACCACGTATCTGCTAAAGGGTTACTATCCAAAATATACCAGGGACTCAAACAACTCAATAGCAAAAAAAGCAAGTCACTTAATTCAAAGATAGATGGGCAAAGGATCTGAATAGATATTTTTTCCAAAAGAAGACCTACAGATGGCCAACAGGTACATGAAAAGGTGCTCAATATCACTAACCATCGGGGACAAGCAACTCAAAACTGCAAGATAATATCGCAGACCAGTTAGGATGTTTGTTCTGAAAAAGACAAAAAATAACATGCTGGCAAGATTGTGGAGAAAAGGGAACCCTTATACACTGTTGATCAGATAATTATGTTGTGTATTCTAAATATATTATAATTTTATTGGTCAATTATACCTCCAAAAGCTGAACAAAGGGGTAGAGAGAGAAAGAGAGAGAGAGAATTCAAGACCAAAGGGCAAGCTTGAAGAGAAACTCATCTCCTAGACATGATATCAGCCTTGAAGGTGGCCCTAAAGGCTGGGGCTTGGAATTTCATGCCTGCCGGGCAACAGAAGACAAGGCTTAAAGGTAGAACTGTAACTGAGTCCATCTGTGACAAGAAGACAGCAAATCTTTGGTTATCAGACTGGAGAAGTGACGAGGAAACTAGCTATCCACTTGGCGGATGGGGGAAGCGGTTTGCTGTAACAAATGGAAACTTTAATTCTGCATTATAGGCTGCTGCTGTGTGGTCTGATCTTAACTACCCTCTTAGTGCAGGACCCTGAGAAATTAATGTAAAAACTGGTCTAAATCACAGAATCCCTGCGTCCCCAGCAGACGAATGTGTAAATTACTCTAAGGGACCTGGCGCAGTTACCGGGGGAAGCCTCTTGAAATCTCATCATCCAAAGATGACATTGGTTAATAGGCTGCTAACATAGCCACTAGGGATTTTTCTACATATAGATTCTGGTTCTTACCTCATTGCAGTCCTAATATTTTGTGCAACAGAAAGCAAAGTTTTTTTTCCAAAGGAACATAAGTCGTTGAACATAATTGAGTTACTGCAGTCAGTGTTTTCCCCCAATTGCAGCACTCCCTCCTGACACGGGAAATGTTTTGTTTCTTCCCTGTGTCTCAAACATTGGGCTCTCTCCTGCTGTCAGAAAGGGGAAATGAAGAATTCAAAGCAAGAGAAGAATTTAGAGAAGGATAGAGAGGGGAAATATGGCTCCATAGGAAGCCCAAGTGATGCTGCTGTTCCCGGGGTGGTGTTAACAAGTATGAATCATTTCCATCCAATTGATTCATGCAGGTATATCTTGCAGCAAAGGGCCTTCCCATTAACTCAGTGCCCTCCACATCAGTGCTTCATGATTTCCTGCATCATGTCTAATTGGACCAGAAGATGGATTATTTCTCTGGAGTATCTTGTGGGAATTTGTTAAAGAGTTTATACATCTAGAAGTTGTTTGGATTAGTTCTGTGTCAACACTTCTGTTCTTCCTGTGCAGAAGGCATAGTGGAGGCAGATGAATAGGCACACGTAACAGTTTGCTTTTAAGTAGTTTCAGTTTCTTTTCAGAAATGTGAACTGCTCATCCTTGGTCACAAGGCATAGCCTTTCCCTGGGCAGGGTGGACAACTTTGCACCGGCCACCAGAGCTAACTGCATTTTTTTGCTAGATGTGAATGGGTGGGGGGAGGCCAGACATTCAGCTCACATGTGCTCGCTCTCTCTCTCTCTCCCCCCTGTGAGTTCTAACCAATGGAGGGCATGCACAAGGAGCTAAGCAGGAAGTAAAATGCAGGATCTACTTTGTTACTGATAAAGCTAGTCTGAAGAATTCCACAGAGCCCCTTCTGTCTTAATGTCAGTGTTCCAGACTCATAGGACTCTGATGTCCCCAACGAGTTGCCAAAAGAGAAACGAGAATAGAAACTGTAGATTGCTGGCTGGGGCCACTAGGTCTGCTTATGGCGCTGTGGTTGATATTCCTGGTGCTCAAGATTTCCACCTTTCCAACTCTTCCTTATCATATAGAAGGCAGTGTTTCTTCACCTTCTCTGAAGTTGGGCAGAACTGTAGGACTGGCTCTGGCCAATGGATCGTATGTAGCAGGAACTGAAATGTGTCATTTCTGGGCTGAAGCAGGAAAGGTCCAATTCTCTATGTCCCTGTGGAGTCTAGCTTCAGCCCCCAATCCCACACATGACACTTTGGCCCAACCACTGGCAGTCACAGGCTTTCCTTGGGCAGGCTTCGTGGTGAGGGGGGAAGCTGCCCTCCTCATGTTAGCTTGGTGCACACACAGCCAAGGCACTGTGGTCTCTGCAGGCAGTTGTATTCTAAGACTAAGCCCCCTCCCCACCCCCACCCCAGCCCCCCGTTGGACTGCTTTTAGGCAAATCTGTGTTCCTAGCCTAGGTACCTCCTTTTGAAAGCCTCTTCAAAAGAGGTCAGAGCTTGAAGATACTTTTCTCTACTCTGACTAGATACTTTTCCACTTCTAGCCCTTCCCCTTCCTAGTCCGTGATTCCAAAAGGTAGTAGTAACCTTTTGTTTAGGGATCTTCTTTCCCCCACTGCCCCCTGCTACCAATCTGTGATGTCTGTCATCTGTCCCTACCCTGGTGCTGTTCCCCATGGAAAAATGGAAGCTGGCATGCTTTCCTGTTTGGCCTCTTGCTTATAGCCTCTCAGAGAGTGAATCAAGTCTTTTTTTTTGTTTTAAAAAGATTTTATTTATTTAGTTGACAGAGAGAGATACAGCGAGAGAGGGAACACAAGCAAGAGAGAGTGGCAGAGGGAGAAGTGGACTTCCCGCGGAGCAGGGAGCCCGATGCGGGGCTCCATCCCAGGACCCTGGGATCATGACCTGAGCCGAAGGCAGATGCTTAATGACTGAGCCACCCAGGCGCCCCGAGAGTAAATCAAGTCTTAATTGTTACTTTCAGTTTGGCTTATTTTAAAAACCTCTGTTGACTGGAACACCCAGGGTATGGAATATTCTGTTTACTAAATTTCAATTTACTACTAAAATCTTTCTCAAGTTCATGTGGATAAAAGCATGTGCCCACTTTTCTGCTTTAATATAATGTCATCATTCAAATTAAATCTTTCCTTGATGATTCAGAACTTTATCTCAAAGTAATCTTTTTTTTTCATTGAACAACCGTATAAATGTAGGTGTGGAAAACCCAAGATGAATAAATACGAACTGCTAGAAGAGATTCCCTGAAATCTATTTTAAAGAAATATGTAATAACATTTTAGCTGTTACTTTTCTTTAAAAATGCATTTTAGAAACAAAACAAAAGTATTCTGAATTACCTGCCTTTAGATGACTTGCGATATAAAATGAAAAAAAAAAAATTCCCTAAATGGAGCTGACTGGAGATCTGGGTGTGAGGCATCCGTTTTTTTTTTTTTTTTTTTTTTTTAAGATTTCATTTATTTATTTGAGAGAGAATGAGAGATAGAGAGCACGAGAGGGAAGAGGGTCAGAGGGAGAAGCAGACTCCCTGCTGAGCAGGGAGCCCTATGCGGGACTTGATCCCAGGACTCCAGGATCATGACCTGAGCTGAAGGCAGTCGCTTAACCAACTGAGCCACTCAGGCGCCCTGAGGCATCCTTTTTTAAATTATCTTTTTTTCTCTCGCCTCCGCTCCCCTCCCCTCCCCTCCCCTCCCCTCATTTCTTAAATATACAGATACATTTTAACTCCTTACTTGCAGATTTTGGTAAGCCTGTTTTCACAGAGCTACAACTTTTAGTGTATTTCTAGTGTATTTCTCTTGTTAATTATTGTTTTTCTTTTTTATTGGTCACTGTCAATTTCTTTTGACACATGTAAGGCTGTTCCAGTTCAAATGCAGAAAGTGTCCTGTCTTCTCTTGGTAAGATCCCTGCCATTTCATAGTCAGGAAAATTCCTTGGGGGGTTGCCTGTGGAGCTCCTACAAAGAAAGAACAAGATTTAAGAAATTAACAGATGTTTTCATTGTCAATGGGAAACTCTGATTCTGTTAATATTTTAATAGACTCCAAAGTGATTGATAAAGTTTATGGAAAGTTTATTCTTTTAACTGTAAATTGTTTGCATTTCTTAAAACAAAGAAACGAAAATTTTTTGTTCAATACACACTTTTATTAAAGGTGAAATAACATTGATGAAAGATCAATAAGAAGAGCTATTAAGGTATAACTTGTTTGAGAAACAAAAAATGCAAGGACAGGTCAACTCTGAGCACTGTAGGTTTCTACTGCAGGTAGCTGACCACCCCACTTGACTTATCTTTAGGAATCTCTTGATTTATCTTCTTTTATTTTAGGGATCTCTTCTGAGACCATTTAGGCTTTCTCTGGTGTTCTCTTAGACCAAGCCCTCAGCCTCAGCTGAAAACTGCTGGCTCCTAATGCAGCCCTCTGAACCATTTTGTTTGGACACCCCTGACAAGTAACTATTTTGCATTTGAACACCTGTAGGCTGGAAAGGCCACTGATGTTCCACTACGGGTTTTCAGAATTCCTTTAAATGTTAGAAGGGAGCATTTGACTTTGCAACTCGTGTTTCTTAGTATGGGATAAGCTATTTCTGGCACATCTTAAAATATGGAACATATGGAATATTAGAGGGAGGAGGGATCTCATCAGAATGACTGGTGAGTTGGGATCTGTGAGGGAATCAGAAGCAAGAGAAATGAGGCCCAGACCGATTAAGCAAATTAATACCAGCGCTATTTAAAAACTTGGTTTTCACAAGAAATAAACTCATGGCCCCATGCAGCTTCCATGCCTAGGACGTATACATATTGTCCTCACCCAGTGAACTTAAGCGTCCGTGTCCAGGCGCTCATGCAGTACATAACAGTGGTTAAGCGCATGCATTCCTAGGCCAGCTTGCTTGGTTAAAATAGAGTCCCATCACTTACTAGGGGTGGAAGTTTCCTGATCCGACAAATGAGAAGAATAGCTCTATCTGCCCCATAAACTTCTTGCAGGGACAGAGTTAACAGTTTAAAAATTTCTGGCCTTCAGTTAAGTACTAAGTGTTGACTAGTATTCATTCATTCAATCATCCAGTCATTTATCAAGCATTAAAAGAACATTTTCTATGTTCTAGGCACTGTGGTAAGTCCTGAATATTCAGCTGTGAACCAAAATCAGCGCCATTCTTCGAGCAGTTAACAATCTAGTAGTGTGGGCGCCCTGAGGCTACCAAAGCTCAATGCAAAGGTTAGCTTTGAGCACTGGAATGGGAGCCTCTTCTCTTCATGTCTCTTCATATCGGGTGCCATTTCTTTAAAAAAAAAAAACAACAACTGTAAAGAAAAGAGTTAAACCAGCAAATATGTTTGTTTTAGTAATGAAATGTATTTTTCTGTGTGTCTGATAAGATAGTTGAAACTGAAGGGATTTTTTGAGAAAATCATCTGACAGCTCAGTGTACATACTGATTTGATAAAGCTCCTATTTCTAAGGACATAGCCTACTTCCCATGTGGAAATGTGAAAGACAGTGAGTGCCTGGTTTTTTTTTTTTTAAAGCTATATCCTTTTTTGTGCAAAGCTGAAATACGCTTAATTCCAGGTTGTCATATTCAGTTAGGAAATGTGGGATGGAACAGAGACAGTGCTCTTTAAGAACTTAGCCTGGGTATGTGCTATGGTGAGTACTGTGAATTGTGTAAGACTGATGAATCACAGACCTGTACCTCTGAAACAAATAATACATTATATGTTAAAAAAAAAAAAAAAGATAGTAGGAAGGGAAAAATGAAGGGGGAGAAATCGGAGGGGGAGATGAACCATGAGAGACTATGGATTCTGAGAAAAAAACTGAGGGTTTTAGAGGGGAGGGGGGTGGGGGAATGGGTTAGCCTGGTGATGAGTATTAAGGAGGGCATGTATTGAATGGAGCACTGGGTGTTATTTGCAAACAATGAATCATGGATCACTACATCAAAGGCTAATGATGTAATGTATGGTGACTAACATAACATAAAAAAAAAAAAGAAAGCCTAAAAAAAAGATATTCTGTGTTCATGGGTTAGAAAACTTACTATTATTAAAATAATAATACTCCTCAAATTGATCTATAGATTCAACACAATCTTTATCAAAATGTCAACTGCTGTTGGGCAGGAACTGGCAAACTAGTTCTAACACTTATAAGGAAATACAAGGGACCCAGGCTAGCCAAAACAAATTTGAAGAAAAATAAAGTTCAAGGATTCACACTTTCTAATTTCTATATTTATTACGAACATATAGTAATCAAGACATTGTAGTTACTGGCATAAGAATAGATGTATATACCAATGGAATAAAATTCAGAGTCCAGAAATTAAAAAAAAAAAAAAAAAGCTTTGAGGTCCTTGCTACTTTGTATAGCAGACAGAAGGCTCCCCTACCCCCACTGCAATGCTTGGCATGGATAAGTCACATGACTCCAGACAGGCCAATCAAGGCTAATGGGATTCAATTCTGGGAACTGGTTTATATTAGCCCAAAGACCCTGGGTCTGTAGAGCTAAAAGGTGGAACCTGGTAACATGATCTGAGCCCTGAATAACACTTGAAATCTTGGGACTATTCCATTACATGAGTCAATGTATTCTCTGTCTGTAAGCTTATTAGGCTTGGGTTTGATGTTTTTGTAACCAACTTTGGCAGACTCCCTGAACTTCATCAGTTTAAACAAATATTTTAAAAGTAAACGTCTAGTGGCTCAAAGATAGAAACCTGTCCCTTTGCCAACAGTCAGACTCACTGGCGAACAGCTGGATGGACTCTGTCCTATCCAGAGAATAATTTGAATCATTGGCTTTGACTTGAGTTAAGGAGGATAAATAAAAACTGTTTCCATTTTTAGGCCTGCTGCACCAAAAGCTTGAGTAGGCCTGAAGGTGCAGCAAGAAATTACGCTTGGAAGGAGATGATGTGGCACAATAAAATAGTCCTTCATGGAAGCAGCATGCTGGTTTTGGTGTAGTGCTGTCTGGAGATACTGCCTGGGGGTGAATCCTGTTCTGCCACTTAGCAGTTCTGAGATCTTGGACAAATGATTTCACTTTCCTCTGCCTCAGTCTCTCTATCTGTAAAGCAGGGATAATAATAGCACCTACTCATAAGAGTTTTTACAAACCACATTTGCAAAATGCCTAATAGGTGCCATATACTTTTAAAAAATTACAAATATATACAGTAACATACTAGACTGTAAGTGCCGACATAGCTCTTCCCCAACCTGAAACTATTTGGCGGGCAATGGAACGTGAAGTGGTGAGTCCATGGGGTTCGATGCTACTCTGACTCTTCCTTCAGACCACCCAGGCTGCTGAGAATGTCAAAGTTTGGGTTCCTATGGGGAACAAAGATGGGTTCAAGAGCCTGGTCAACTCATATCACCACATCATGCTGGTATCTGAAGCCTATATTTTGCAAGGCTTGTGTGCTGGTTGATTACTAAGATACAGTGGAAGAATCCAAACAGTTAAGACCACGGGTCATTTTTACCTGGGCCAGTCATGATGACCTGACTTGGCTCAAAAGTAATAAAGTCAAGGCTCAAAAAATGTTTGAAAAGAATATTTTAAAAAGCTCTTTCAAAGATTTTTTGTTGTTGTTGTTCTGCTTAGTGTGACTTGGGGGATAATAGATGTTTTCATTACCATATGCCTGTTTTCAACATGTTTTGACATTTTGATTCATTCTAAGAACGAAGAACCCATCTGGCATTTATAGCTAGGCTCTCTTATCTTTCTCTTTACATGTGTCATTTTCCTTTGTGGGTGTCAAATCCCATTTTGTTTTAGCCATTGAAAGAGAGCAAAGCATTGGTGCCCATGAAAAGCAGCCTGAAGCTCTTTTCAACAGTGTGTTTTATTCCTGGATTATAATAAAGGTAAACAAAACTCAACAGGTACAATAGTATTAGAAAGCATCTCATAAGATCAGCTTCTTGTTGGTGCAACATACAGATTTAAACTCTTTTTATAAAGTGCAAAAAAGAAACAATGTGTTTGCAGTTAGATTTTTGTATTAGACTCTTAAAATCCATATTATATTTAAAAGAGCTATCAGTTTATAAACTGAGAAACTGTCAAGGAAAATGGAAGTAGATAGCAAGTTTTTATTGTTAATAAATGGCTTCAGCTATGGGGTCAAGATATTCTCTTAGTCAAAGTGATTAACGTTAAAATTTTCTGATTATTTAGTTTGGCTCTCCCAGACTTCATTTTATACTCCTTCTATTTACAGAAGTTAGAAAGCTGAGAATATGTTACCCTGACTCTCTTGCAGCTAGGATCTTGAATGCAGAATAAATTCAGTCATTTGATGGACTGTCATGAGGTCTGACAGGCAGGAAGTTGGGGCATGTCATCTGTCAGCAGAGTGCACAGGGACAATTAGATCTAACAGAAACACATTTTAGCAATGGCAGGAATCCACAGCCCACCCTGGTCACTGGCTTTGAAATTAGCAGCTGTGGTGATGGCTGTAGTAACTACTGACCTCTGCATCATATTTACAATGACAGAAACTTGGAATCAAACCTCTCCAGTCTTTAAACTTTTTTAAAAAATTTAAATTTGATTAGCCAACATAAAGTACATACTTAGTTTCAGATGTAGCATTCAATAATTCATCAGTTGCATATAACACCCAGTGCTCATCACATCATGTGCCCTCCTTAATGCCCATCACCCAATTACCCCATCCCCCCACCCACCTAAACTTTCTTTTAAAAAGATTTATTTATTTCTTTGAGAAAGAGATCTCATGCATGAGAGTGGAAGGAGGGGCAGAGGGAGAGAATGCTCAAGCAGACTCCCCATATGAGCATGGAGCCTGAGGACGTGAGGCTCAGTCTCAGGACCCTGAGATCATGAGCTGAGCTGAAACCAAGAGGCAGACGCTCAGCCGACTGAGCCACCAGGTGCCCCTACACTGTTT